TTGCTGTTGCTGTTGTTGTTGCTGTTGCTGTTGTTGTTGTTGTTGCTGTTGATGTTGCTGTTGTTGTTGTTGTTGTGGTTGTTCTTGTTGTTTGTTGTTGTTGTTGCTGTTGTTGTTGTCGTCGTCGTCGTCGTCGTGGTTGTGGATGTCATTGTTGTTGCTGCTGCTGTTGTTGTTGTTGTCGTTGTTGTTGTTGGTGGTGGTGTTGTTGTTGCTGTTGTTGTTGGTGTTGTTGCTGTTGTTGCTGTTATTGTTGCTGTTGCTGTCGTTGTTGCTGTTGCTGCCTCTGTTCCATCTAAATTATCTAAATCATTGACTCTACGAAATGTTTGTTGTGTGTCATAGTTGCTTGTGCATGTGCCCTGCCTACTCCTCAGGCATGGTTCCTGGTGGATGCCTTGCTGCAAGCATTGGACAAGATACGAGGTTCCTTGAGCAGCTGCGTACGGCTTTACAGGATTTACGCAAGAGCTCGCGGCCTTTGGGGTTGGAGTTTAAGGCAGGGCATACGGTACTTCCGGCAGATGCTCAGTTGCACAACTCCTTGCCATTGACAATGCTTTCGGCTGTTTGTATGGGTGTTGGAGATATTATCTCAATGCTTGAAGCAGCGCAGGGATGGTTTGCCACCCGCCCCATTCACGCAGTACCACAGAGTGGGCCACAAACTCTTAAAGAAAGAGCCCGAGGTAGGAGGAATCGGTTTTACTGCCTTGCCGTGATTGTTTAACAAACTAGTGGGTAACTTTTCTTGCGTTACGGCTGCCGTAAGCCGCCGATTTCTGCAATTCCCAACCGACTTCTGAACCCCAATGAACCCGACAGTGTGCCCTCGCTGGAGGTGGCGAGGTTCAAGAGCCCAGCGATGGCAACTCGATCATGAGGAAGGCCCCGTGGCGGTCTGCGTGGAGATGTCCAAGACTGAAGCTTGAGTGTGTTTTATTGTGGGATGGTGTGCTGATTCCATTTGCTGTGATGTCCAGGCTCTAAGAACTATTCGAATCTGTATGTTTCTCCATTAAAAGTGGAAGCTGAACCTGCAGAGCAAGAACCTGGTTATTTGCGATCTTGTGGAGAGAGCAATGCCTCTGCTCTCGCTCCTGCGCCCGTTGCACGGCCGGTGCTGCCACTGCTTCTATTCGCACTGCTACTGCTTCTGCTGCTACTACTACTACTACTACTACTACTACTACTACTTCGAGGTCGCGGCATTGTAGGGCGCCTGGGTGCACATTTGCGGGTTTCTCCAGACAACCAATGCCCTCTTGGTCAACGAATGCCTCTTTTGGGCCACCAGAACGACTTTGATTTTGGTGTTGTTTTGTTTATTGCTGTTTCTGTCTTTCTGATGCGGTCGCTTGCATATCTCTTCGTCCTTAAGAATGCCAAAACTGGAGTAGGTTTTGGAGATCCAGGGAATGGGCATTCTTAGCCGGAACAGCCAGACAAAACGGCAGGCGTGGTGACTGTCCGTCAGATGTCCTTTGGGAATGATATCTTGCAACTTATCATTTCGAGGTGGAAAGCATGTTCTCGTGAACGAAATGTGCTTCGGTGCTGACGCTCACAGGGAGCCCCTCGGTGTTACAGCCACCTTCAACATGTCCTCCCCGGCCCTGACCGACACTGCCACGGCAAGTGATAATGCTGACTGTTGTTGTTGCTGCGGCCGTTCGACATGACAAAGCTGTTCTTCTATGGCAAGCAGCTTGTGTATAATCTTGAACCTTGATCCTGCCTGCATGGTTCTCGACGCAGGTGGATCGACAGCAGCAGCTGACACAGAAAGCAAGGCCGTATGTTCGGACGTGCCAAGTTTCTTCGGGCAGTGTCGACTTCAAGGCACCCTTACGACCCCTTACAAAAAGATCCCACGGTGGCCAGGCTTTACGTATTGAAGTCCGATGTGTCCAGAAAATTCGGACATAACAAATTTTACCTGCAAGTTATATGGTGAATAGCGACTGACCGGCAATGCAAGCACCGCTTCTTGCAGACATGCAGGTGTAATGTTGGTGAAGACAGGTCAAACGGGTGCGAGAGATTGTAGGTCCAGTTCCATGGAGGCAAAGGCAATTCCGGCATTCTCCAATGTTGCGATGCGTATTCCCAGTCATAAGCCCCGAAACCTTGAACCCGTCAGAGCCTGCGATCTGACCAGGACTTTGTTCACACGACTGCCTGGGTTCTCGTCCTGCAGCTCCGAATTCTTGCTGGAACCCCAGCCATCGCTCTTGCAGTCTCAATGACATGAAAACAGCAGACGATATAACAAGTTATAGTCAGTTATAGTCTGATCTTGGACTCAGAATCTTATCTAGCCTGATCTAACGTAAACAAATCTAAACTGACGGTAATACAAGATAAGAGGTCATAACACAAAACAACATGCCAAAAGAATGCAACATAGCACAATACAGATAACATGATATGATTACCATAGAATATATGACCTTAATGATATTACACATCATTATATTGACATGTCATACTATACTAACTTTTGATAAAACATTGCATTGTATTCTACAGTAGAATACAAGGTATCGCAATATACTAGATACAGCACAGCATAGTATCATTTATCATAATATGACGGGGTAGATTATTAGTAAGTGTAGTTTAACGGTTTAGGGTTTAGGGACCCTCAACCCTAAACCCTCAACCCTAAACCCTAAACCCTAAAACCCTCAAACCCTAAACCGTACAGTTTCGTATAGCATAGAATGTGCACTGCTCCGTCACTCCTTTGAGGCTTAAAATCGTCGACGTCGGATCGGTGGTCTCCAAGAAGAAGGGGGAGGTGCATGGCCTGGGGTTGGGGTTTTAGGGTTTAGGGTTTAGGGTTTAGGGTTGGGCGTTTCGGGCAGCTAGGGGAGGCTTTAACGCCCAGTTTGGGGTTGTTGCACCACCACTGCTCAACTGCAGCCAAGCACGGCCCAATATGTCGCAAAACTGCAGCCAAGCACGGCCCAATATGTCGCAAAATTTGGAAGCTGCTCCATACTCCAGTCGGCGGCATACATGAACTTGGCCGCAAGATAGAAACCGGTGCGCGGGCTTATGTCGAGTAGAGTAGAGTCTCGGGTGCAATCCTCAAAGCCCAACCGGTCGTATCAACAAAATCTCACCTTCTCTTCCTTTGATGCAGTGGCAGAACTAAGCCCTGAACTTTCAAATCATCCGCACCCTAGGTGCTCTACTCTGAACACGATGACAACACGAGCTTGTTCTTGATCCTGGAGGGAGAAGTGATCTTCCGCGACGGTCTGCCCTGACGAAAATGGGTCTGTGTCATTCAGGGTTTGGGTGTGGGGCTTCGCAATTGTCGTTGATAGTTCGGGGTTTAGTCGTTCACCACGGTATGGGGTTGGATCCGGGGAAATCAAGCACCCATACATCTCCACATGCGGTGGCCATAGATCGAGCCCAGTAACACAGAGGGAACGTGCAGCGACGGCTCGACTAACTATAACTATGCTCTTTTCCGACAGTGATTGAAAGTCTGATCCACATAAGCAAACTTTCAGGTCCACAAGATTTGGGTGTTTTAGGTAGTGGCAGGTTGACGGTGCTAGAGGTTTATGCTATCGAATGAGATGCTCTGCCGAAACACATGTTGCTGCACATCTGCTGGCAAACCAGAAACTGCAGACGACACTTCACAGAACAGGATGACCCGAATCCACTTACAACTGGCCAGAGAGTAAGAGTCAGCTCCTTCCTAGAATATGTCTAGAATATGTTGGTCGATGTTGGCAGACATCTTCTTGCCGAAACGTCGAACACACTTTGCTCAACCTGAATATTTCCGGTGCGACAAGAGATGCCCACGTTCAGAGAATCTCTTATCTCCAGCGCCAAAGAAGCCAGTCCATGCAACTTTTATGTCAGGCCAGGAATAGTAAATATTGATGACGATGGTGATGACCTTGATGTTCAGGTGTGTCTCGGGACTGTGGTAGTGTTTGTGCAGGTTCTTGTTCTGAGTGTTGTTGTTCTCAATGTCCATCAGGCACAGAAATCGGCACGATCACATGTATTCCTTAAGCCCTACAAATCCCAGCAGTTCAACAATTACGCCTCTCCTTCCAGAGCCTGTGAAGCAGGTAGCCGCGTGACATACATTCGCGCCGAGCTCAGTCATCAGGTTCGGGAGCCATAGCTACATATGACTGGTGAAGTCATAGCAAATGCGGGTCATATACCAACACGCATTTATGCGTGTAGGTTCATGTGGTTGCTGTGTGCAAATTATTTTTACATAATGTGTATGCCTGTGTGTATATATATATATATACAGAATTGTGTGCATGTGTGTGTGTGTGTTTGTTTATCTATGTTTTTATTTGTTTCATTTTCTTTGTATGTATATACACACATTCATTTGTTTGTTGGTTTGTTCGTTTGTGTTTGAGTGTGTACACTTACGCCTCAGGGCACGGGCGCAGGCGCGCACGCCGGGTGTTTTGCCGCATCCGTCGTGAGCATGAAGGGACAAGACACACGCAGGGTTGTAGTGTAGTAAGGTCTTAGTAGAGTCTGAGCGCTCACGTCGTTGCTGCTGACGACCACCTTCTGCCTCACCAACACTTACCAAAGATCATCGGTGACACAGAGGCGTTGTACCTCTGAGAATTTGTTGTGGGAGCTGTGTGATAGTCTATACTTTCGATTACAGTTGTGACTTTCAAGGCTCAACCCTTCGAGTGCCTATGGTTTGAAGGAGCCTGAGAGCACTAGTACTGTTATGACTAATAGCTATCTTCCAGTACTACATCTACTGCTATGGTGCCCATGGTCATAGGAAGTGGAGCAGATTAGTGATCACAGCCAGTCATCCACATCCATTTTGTGCGAATGTATGTCTTCTGTGCTATTGCCCGATGTTGCTCATGTGTCGCTCGCTGTACCCACCCGCTGCTAGCACTATTCTAGACACATCGGTTAGTGGGGATTTGGAGTATTTAGAGACGTCGGTTTACATAGTGCATGTTCAAGTTTCCAAGCCCAAGCCACCCCGATAAGCTTGTGCAGAGCTGCTAACAGTCCTTAGTCTGTGTGTGTATGCATGATTCCAAATATTCCAACAGTATGGGGGCCCTGAGCTAGCTATCGGGCTGCACTTAGCTTGAAATGAAGCAGATTTGTCTTGTCATTTACGTGTTGGCGCTCATGACGTTCACACTTCTCCACGGTGTACCGCCACAGAAATGCTGAGGTGAGGGGGGGACTCTGGGCGAGTTCAAGGCCGGGAGTTTTCTTGCCACTATTCTCATGTGACTATCAATTGCAGTTCGATTCTTCTCCATGTTACAACCAGTATCGATGGCACAGAAGCCTGAACAAGGAGTTATGCCATTCCCCCCTAGTACCATTATGCAGACAGGCACACTACTCTGAGGTGGCCGGCAACCCGCCAAGTTGGTTTCAAGGAGGGTAACCTGTGCTCTGCAAAGCTGCAAGAGAGCTGGTTTAGATGTTAGGCTGGAGTTCCCTAGAACTTTCAGTCAAGATCAGTCAGATTCGAGATTTAGGATCCATTATAGAGCCTCTTGTCTACGGTAGGTCCTCGGGCATGGGACACATTGGCCAGGTGGGTTTCCTCCAGGAGTCCGGTTTTCGGCTTATGCCCCCCGATTGTGCAGCAATTAGAACCCAACCCCAGGGCCCTAAACCCGTAAACCGTGGCCCTTCCCTAAACCCTAAACCGTGGCACTTACCTAAACCCTACACCCCGCAGGAGGCCTCACTGTTCAGAGCACACGCAATATTCCTCGCAGGTCTTTGACCTCGAGCAGGCCAACACGGAACAGCGAGTGGAGGCCGGGTGGCCCTTAAACCATACGACGACGTTGCTGCCACTGCCCCACCACCACCACCGCCACGGGTTCGAAGGAAGGGTTTGCCGTCGCCACAGCAGCACCAGCATACAGTCCAGAGTGCTCCACCATGAAGTTGCACCGTTGCAACTCGCATCCGCGAGCTTTTTGGTCTCCGCAACTTCTTTCATATGGATCCTAGACCCTATACCTTTATGGAACCTTTGTAGGTCCGATGCTGAAAGGAATCCCTATCTGTGTAACGCTGCCTGCGAAAACTCGGGCGACGAGGTCGTCACGGACTGCGAGGTGTTCGAACTCCCTGAGGCGGCCATGAAGAGGCGAGGATTGTTTCTGGTTCAGGGCGAGTGGGGCAATCGAAATCCCAGGAGTCTTTAGGAATTCGAGAATAAGGTATGTGGTTTGGCGTAACATAAGGTTTGTTGGTCCAGGGCATGGTACACAGGTCTTGGTCTAGGGCAGCATAGGGTTCAGGGCTTACGGTATAGACGATGCCGAACAACCCAGCTGAGTAGGCCAATACCATCGATGCAAACACCGCCCCGCAGTCTCCGGCGCCAACGTCCCATGTCAAGCGCTGCTTAAGGCTTGAGTTTAAATCTTAAAGCCCTTCACAGAGACCCGTTGCATGCCCAGGTGGTCCCACCCGCCATTTAGTTGCTGTGGACAAAATCAGTATAGACCCCGGTCTTGCCATAAGGGCCGCCGAAAGTTGATTCCTAATACGAAGAGCCCGCCATACGGGTCACAGCAGATTCAAGACGTTTGCGGCACCAGGTTCTTGGAATACTCTCCTGCAGACAGAAGCATTCTGACAGAGTTCTACAAGGCAGGATCGGTTTGACTGGACCATGCGCATGCCTGAGCCGATGCTTTGATCAACACTGAGGGCCCTGACGGCCCTAGTAAGCGCAAATCACAAATGCAGGCCAAGCTCCAAGAGCTGGAGACTGATGATGTGCGCAGTTGCAGGCATGCTGCATGGGTGCACAGTATTTCTTAGTCCTTAAAGTCCCTAGAGAAGTATACAAACACGTACAGACACCTATCCAAAAATTCCGAAGCTAACCATTTAAGTCCTAATTGCATTAGTTTCCGACAGGCATGTCTCGCTTCTAGCGGCTAGCATGTCAGGATTGCTCGTCTATACCTCTTCAGCATTCGGAGGTCTTTGTGGCGCCCCATGCGTTTAGCTGTCGCAGAGATCCCCCAACAGCCCGAGGAGTAAGGTGGATTGGTTGAGATACTGCTGGACCTCTTGCAAGCCTGCAGACACGTGGGCAATCTGCCCTGAATCATGTTGAAGTCCTGGTTGATCTCGACTTGGTGTGTTCTTTCCTAGACCGTACAACCCTACACCCTCATGAAGCATTTCTCTTCGCGAGAACCTGATTTGCCTCGTTACGAGTGCGAGGGCACACACCGTGAAGTAGGGATGTTTAGAATCTAGTGCTGAGGGATCTTTAGGTTCTGGGTGTCAGATATTTTAAACCCCAAACTCTAAGCCCGAAGCTCCAGGGTTTACAAGTGTGTGCTTGAGTTAGTTCGAGTTCAATGTTGCGGGGCCTCTAGGACTCTAGGCCCAGAAACAAGGACGCTCTAGCTGCTCGCAGAGAGGTTTCTGTGACTTAGCTGCGACCTGCCGACCTTAATTTTGAAGGTTCGTATTATAGGGTGGAACAAATGAGTTTTTAGACAGTGCCATGATGAGAATTTCGCGATACTGAAGCCGCTTGTCGGCCTTCCGCAAGTCCGTGAGTACTGCTAGCAACTAGTGTTGCTCAACACATGCGATGTTTGGTTTCTCATTGTTCCTCTTGCCATGAAAACCGTGAATGTCATGTGTGTATGTGTGTTGTTATTCTTGAAACAGATGTCTACACCCTAAAGCTCCTACAACTCTAAACCCTAAAGCCCGTTCATCCCACGTAATTATCCCTAAACCCTGAAACCCTATTGGCATCCATTTAGTCGCCAAGTGTCTCCCTTCGTGACAGTCCGCATGACCCATTGCACAAATCCTAAACCCTAAAACCCTAAACCCTAAACCCTAAAACCCTAAACCCTAAACCCTAAAACCCTGAGCGCCGCAATTCCAAAGCCCTTGCACAGCGAAGCGAGTTGAACCTCCGAACCCTGGGCTCCCGCTTAGGGCAACGAGTCACCAGGTCCCAGGGCATAGGGTGAAAGTTCACGGCTTGCTTGAGGGCGTAGGATTGTCGAATTTGGGGGCTTAGAGTCTTTGGGTTAAGGTTTCAGGGTTCGTTTTCCGTTTTGTTTAAGCAATCTTGCGCAGGAGATCGATGATAAAGCTGTTCCGATCCATCGCCAAGTTCTTCACAAGCTGCTTGCCCTTTTAAAGGGGACGGACCGGGCTGCTGCCGTCGTGTCGCGACCCCAAAGCCTGATCTCAGGCTCGGGGTTTCGGGTACAGGGTTTAGGTTTTAATGTTCTGGGTTTGGGGTCCGGGGTGTAGGGTTTAGGGTCTTAGAGCCTTAATATATACAGCCACATATATATATATATATATATGTATACCCACAGACACGTGCACATGCATATATACACACAAAAACATACGTACACACACATACATGCATGCATGCCTCTATATATAATCAAAACACCCTTCTCCGATGCGCGAACCTGGGAGGATGTGTGCACACCAAATGCTTGAGTTTTGTTAGCAGAAGTCAGCACAAGTCTACATAACCAGGAAACGCTGCAATGGCACACCGAGACAAAACCCGAAGCCCGTTAAAGCCAAGAATCTTTTTCACAGCCAAGGTGGGGTGCAGAAAGCAAGGGCCATTTGGCTCCAAGCCGTCTTCGCTGTGTTGCTCATCGTGGTTGGTCGCTCGGCGCCGGGGCGATAAGGACCAAACGCCCCTCGAAGGTAGTCCTTTGCACTCGCATCACAAGCTTGTCAAGTGCGCATGTTCCTGAGATCGGCGTTCAAAGAGCGCTGACCAAGGGATGTTTCTACACGATGACTGCTCTGAAATTAGCGTTGTAATGATACAGGATGTGCCAGTGTTTGTGGTCTGAGCTGAAAACAGATAGCTATTCTTAACCGTGAAGCTGCAGGACTGATTAGGATTCAGAGCTAGCAGCTAGCCGTTTTTGGTTTAGCGTTAAGGATTTCAACCAATAGTTGCTGGCCGTACGTGCAGGGATGTTTGTGCAAACTGTCGGTTTCGTGCGATGTGGTTTGGAAACAAACCTGCATGAAGCATCCATCTCAATGCAAGAGATCAAACTGGCTGAAAAGGCACGCACACACACACACACACCTTGAAATCAATCCGCAATTAACAACATCCAAGCAGGGGGCCAATGCGTTTGCACGGAAACGCTGTGCAACCATGAAGCCAGTGGTACAAACTTGGATGTAGACGGAGCCGAAAGCGGACGAACGAAGTCCCGCGACTACTGAAGACTTGAGACCACTCATCTGTGCTGTTCTCCGCTGCGGATTTCTTCTCGGCTAGTTTCAAACTATGCAAAAATCGGGGAGGGTTCGGGCTTCAGGTGTGGTGGAATCTGGCAGTTAGCTAAGTTCTTGGATGCAGGACCTTTGTAAACGGATCTTCGGAAAATGTGAGGACACACGCGCCTACACAGGGTCCAAACACAGATTACTTGTGTTCTTGACGGCCGGTCCTGTTGGAAAGGTCGTTCCATTCATATGACTGTCATCCGGACGCATACCTTGAAGTCGAAGATGGTTGTGCGGAATTTGACCAGACGCTGAATCCTGGGATTCACGAGTTACACATCAACTACCGGCTACATCTATACTAAGTAAATCTGGGTACTTTCCGCAACAAGCGATCACCACAGCATGCTCGGTTTGACAGCCCACTCAACATCTCGAAGCTTGTCCGTCAGACTGACTGTGATCTGATGCCCGATGCCTGCTAAGGAAGCTTTGCACATGGGCTGGTCCTTTCGAGGCTACGAGAAATGGAGGGGGAGGCCAACAAGGACCGGTGCCCACATGACACGGAACAGCTTTGGATTCTTTGGATCTCCGGCTTCTGCAGTGAAGCACCGCACCACGAAAGCACACTTGTATGTGACTGTGATGTTCCCTGTTCTTATTGTTGGCACGACCGATGATGCTGCTCCCGATGGTTCTTTCCGGAGTCGCGAAACTTTCTCGTAGGGAACGCCGCATATGGACAACTACCACTACTGCCACCACCACCTCTCCCACTGCTACTGCTCCGGCGGCTGCTGCTATGCTGCTACTTCTGCACTGCTGCTGCTGCTGCTACTACTACTGCTGCTACTACTACTACTACTACTACTACTACTACTGCCACCACCACCACTACTACTATATACTACTACTCCTCCTCCTCCTCCTGCTGCTGCTGCTGACCAACGACGACGACGACTACAACCACCACTACTACTGCTACTACTGCGACGACAGCTGTCGACAGTGCTACTGCTATTGCACACCTCCTGTTGCTGTTGCTACTGCTACTGCTGCTAGTACAGCAATGCTACGTCGACAGCCTTTGCTGTCAAAGGCCCGCCTGCTGCGAACACTACTGCTAGTACTCATGTTGCTACTACGGCTGCTGCTGCTGCTGCGGCTTTGAGTTTGTGTCAGGGGCGCGCCGCCGAAGGCATGGCGGAGGACCTCGTTCTGCTGATGTTCATGATCTGCGCCTTTGCTTAGGGGCATGCCCGCCCCACCCTCCCTGCCCAGCTTAGGGTTAAGAGGGGCCCTGCTTCACCATGCATGTCTATCTGCACTTTCATGTGACCTGGCTCATGCAATCTCACTTGCTTCCATAGTTCGACCCGAAGCTGCCTGCTGGTTAGTGCAGTTCCTGACAGAGGTGTCGTGGTAACAACAAGGTTCGGCAGTTGTTCTTCTCCTTGGAGCCATCTTCGCTTTAACAAGACATGGCGGTGCAACCGTCGTTTCGTATGTGGAGTTGAGATAGCACATGAAAGCCCATAGCCTTGCTCGTGGATGGTTGCACTTACATACCTGACTTGATGAAGGCCCGTGAAACAGCTTGAGGTGCGGGGGTCAGAAACGAAAATCTGCGATGTATTTCAAGGCGTGCAATCGTCATGTGTGCTGGCATCCGCCGAAACCATCGCTTCAAATATTTCAACGCGACTCTTCGATTCGCTCATTAGGAACGAGGGTAGATACTGCAAGTTAATGTGGCTCCGAAGTTGTGCTATCTCGCGGGCTTAATGTTTAACTGAATAGTTCGTAATTACCGCCGTTTCTTCAGGCTCCTTGTCATAGCTATAGCACAATATACCCTGAAACCATATCGAAAGGCACCGAAGTTTGGTTGCTCAGCTACCTGGTTTCGCATCCACTACTGACACATTATGACGTACTTAGAAAGCTGAGGCAAGTTGATGCGACAAAACTTGCCATTGACATACCTGAAGCGAGTCTTTGCTGCAACTTCGCTCTCCTCTGGGTTTCAGTTTATGCTTATTATTCAGTGTTTAGCATAGCAGAGCATGTCTGTGGAATACTTCTCAAGTTTGATATTTCCTTCTCCACCGGTGCGGATGCGCGGACGGAATTACCAGCATCGAATGTCTTACGTGCCGACTCGTAGGAAGGCGAACTGCTCGTCGCAAGTTGTTTTCGAGCTTCCCACTTGTTTCGTGCTTCGCAGCCTCAGACTGTTTCAGCACATGCGCAGGTTTTTTCAGCGAGCAAGAGACGCAAATGTATGTGAACATCCGATTGCAAAGCAGCTCTGGATCAATGTGGGTGACTGTCAAGCTGGCGGCAAGGGCCTCGGAGGAGTTAGCAGCGTGAGTTTTGCCCTGAACCCATAAGCCCCAAGCCATGACGCCGCGGCTGCGATGTGATGTCGGAACAACATTCACATATTCTCCATGCCGAAGCCTCTGCCAAATTGCTCGTTTGGCAAACTTCGTATAGAAAAGCACTTAGAGTGCACGCTGTGTGTTTAAGGTCTAGCTCTCACCACACGAGGTGCCCCTGAAAGGGTTTTACACACAGTGTAGTCAGTAATCTCACTGGTCGGGTACTTGGACAAGCTATCGTTCGACTGCCATGACCATGCATGTTGAACTGAGCCGAAATCAAAGTTGCCCTAAACCTTGAATCCTGAACCCTTGTCAGCCTAACCGGCAGCCAAGGTCATTATGCTTGGCTGGGGCCACTGGGTGGGATGCATCTTTCTTCTCCTCTCCTTCCTCAGAGAAGCTACCTCGGACGGCTTGCAGGATCGGCTTAGGTTCAGGATTTAGGGCTGAGGATGCGAAGAGCTTGTCTATGGATGACTTAAGTTGACTTTGGGCCAAGGTGCAACCAATCCGGGAAGGCCAATGAAAACAGCGGGAAGCGTGATTAATGAGACGGCTAATCAGCTTTTTAATATGGCCCGATGAGCTGAATGCCTACTGCAGGACAGCCATTTCATGCAGCTGCATCAATACACGCGGATAGCAGAGCCTACCGACAGCGAGTGGTGGGGCAATTATTTGGCCTCTTCGGCAGCAGTATTGAATCTGTAAGAGGAGCTCGAGTAGTAGCATACCTTTAACCTATCACAACCAAACTTTTTTTTGTAGGACCCCCATGATTCCATATTAGGGTATTCCATATTAGGGTTTTTCTAACAAAAACGGCGGATAATTAGGGGAGCTTAGGGCGGTTGCTGCTCAGCTCTCAGATCCGATGCGTTAGCGACTGCACTCTGCTGAAGCACTTGGCCATGCCCGGCCAATACGGATAGTACCGATAACTACACGGTTTTGCCGACTCAACATGGGATCAGGTTTCCCAGGTTCAAGAATTCTACGCCCCGGAGTTTGAGACTAGTGACTAGAACTGTGACCCTTCGGAGTTTGAGGCTAGACTAGACTTGTGGATGCCGCTTCTTTGGGGTTTGGGTTTAGGGTTTCACCATACCATCACGTCAGAAAGCATGCAGCGAACAATTACCGACATCAGCCCTTAGGCACCCCAAAACCGTATTCTAATTCTTCAGGCCCTTATAGTAGTCTGAAGCTTCCGCAGCACATGGAGTACCCCAATCAACTTGAGAAGGCGTTCCTGTTGACTACACAAAACCCTATAAACCCTACAAGGCCCTAAAGATCTCGAGCCTTCGTGTGAATCTGACTCGTGATCGAGGCTGCCTACTACAAGGCCTTCAACCGGCTCCTTGGATTGGGTTTCGGGTTTATGTAGAGGGTTTAGGGTTTAGGGTGGGCCTTGGACGTTCAGGCGATTGCACAAGTCCTGATGCAAAAAAGGGTGGGCCTTGGGCTAAGCAAGCCGCCCATGCTTCGGCAGCCCCATGTTTAAAGTTGCCAAAGCAAGACTCTAGGGAGGCCCCAGGTGAGATTCCTTCGCCCTACACCAGACGCAGAAGGCGTATCAGTCCTGGGCGACATCGTTCCAATACGATGCTTTCGCTTCTCTGAGACACTTGCGAGTTGCCTAGGCCTCTAGCCCACTTTGATTGCGAAATTAGGGGGCGGCTTATGGATAAATCTTGGCAATCCAAAAGATGGAAGTTCTCCGGAGAAGACAGCACCAGGAACGTCACATTGGGAACATCATGAAAATCATCCTGGCAAAAACGGCAGTAATAATAGCACCTGCGAGAGGTTGTACTGGAGCAATAGCAATCGTCACCCTCATAGTAGATAAGCGACAGTACGAGCCACAACAGGGCAGCCGACGACTTCGAGTACAGTGATTTTGGTCGGCGGATGTAGTTTCTGGGTTTACTTGGCTCGTGGTAGCTTGAACTCGAAATCTTGCTTCTTGAACCCTAACCTCTGCATCGGCCGAGGAACTATGAGGGGTCAATGCCAGAGAGACTTGAAGAGTTTGTTCTGATCCTGTTCGTTGCGGCTGGGCTGCTGGCGATGTGCCTCAGTGACCAACTTATGTCTTGAAGCCAGGTGCATGACTTTTGATGATAACTGTACTCTAAGCTGAACACTACGCCCTCAACACAGATCCAGGCTGGCACTGGTTCTGTTGCGTTTTCAGATGTCAGCGTGTTTGCACAGCGATCCGCACCATGCGGCTGGATTCTCACAAGCTCTGACGGTCGTATCATGCCCAACATGGTAAGGCCGTACTGAAGGAGAGCATCGAGACTGAGCGAAGTGTGAATGTTTGTAAGCGGTAACAAAGCGTAATTGCTTTCTTCCGACATGGGTCTCACCAGCAGCCAAAGGCTTAGGAAGATGTTGGTAAAAGCGGCTAGGCCACATGGGCGAGAGCTGACCCATGCACTCCAAGGAAATCCTATGTCATTGGATCTTTCTTCAAGCTGCAGGAGCTGCTTTGGGTCTTGCAACGCCGCGGTAGTTTTGGAATTTCGTTGCATGCGTGAGGCAGCCAACTTGCGATTTGGGTTGTTTGCTATTTACTGTTTGTTCCTCTCTATCGCACATAGCAGATGTTAAAGAAGACCGCCAATGTAAGACATTCTGTTGCCCCGCAGGAGACGAAAAAGGATCTGGCGCGAGAGGTGCAGCAACTCTTGAGTCAAGCGCAGCTGGTCTGCCGGGGGCTTAGAAAACGCTCGGCACGAAATTACAGCCCCCTTGATATAGGGATCCTTGTATCAAGGATGTTGCTATTTAGCAATCTGGTTAAGTTCTTCAGGATTTCTCAGTTCTTGAAGCCCAACTTGCTTCATGTTTCATCCGGTAGAGTCTCGGGGCGTTCCATTGCTGACCGGAAGGTGATTCCTTGGACCTGCCACCGAGTATTCGCAAATCGATCCGCAGCTTGGCAATGCAAAGTCTCGGGCTTAGGGTTTACTTAACGAGTTATTGACTCACGCCCTTGCGCATGCGCACCTTGGCGCACGCCTTGACGTCCACCAAGGACAGCACATGATGTTCCAATGGTCCAAGGCCCGGGATGTTGGCAACCGTGAGGCCTGGAATGACCCGATGATCCGATCATGGCAGTGTTGTTTTGTTGTTTGCTTTTGTGGTGGCATTGGTTTCATTTATGGGGTCTGCAAGTGTTGTTGGGATTGTTGCAGCAGCTGTGGTTGCCATAGACTTATCATTGTCTTCTGCTGCAGTTGGCAGCTAGTGTTGTTGCCGTTGTTCTGTTGTTGCTGATCGTAGTGTGTTCTTCCCCCTTGATGCTCCTATTGTCCCATTGCATATCGCCATCGGCTGTGCCATGAACTGATTAGAATGTTCAGTCCGTATCTCTTCCTGTGTTGTTCCCTCGGCTCGCTTTCATTGGTGGTCGTTGGCAGGTGGTCCTCAAGACCTTCGCACCGGACTTGCAGAAGAAAGTCAAAGAGCAAGTTCCCTGCCCTGCTGCTAGTTAAGCCGCGCATGTCCAGTCCAGCCGATAACCCTCGCAACGCAGTGTTGTCACGACGAGCTTCAGGGCTTTTGGAACATGGTTCGCGAAACGGGCCCACGTCCATGACCCTCGCAGCACCCTCTGCCCTCATTTATTACTATTCCTTCGGGCTCATGATAAAATGCCCCCCCCAAAACCCGGTTCTGGTTAGTAAGGCCCCTTTTTTAGTTGCATGGTCAGCATGTGCGTGCAAGTCCCTGGTCTCTGAGTAGCAGCTCCAGTGCCGGTCGCACCTGGACACAGCCGTGAAGCCACATCGTTCGTTCTCGTTTTGTCTTTTGATTTCGATGGCTGATCACCGATTCTAAACCCACTCCAGAGTCTGCAAAGCCGGATATACCACAAATCCTGGCTGCCAGCACGCACGATGCACGGTCCGGAATGCCCAGATCTACCTGCCCATCATCCAAGCCAACGAGAAGCTTTTCAACGGTGCCAGCTCTGACTTCATGCTGCAGATCATCGATCAGCTCGAGGCTGCCTCTGACAGGGATGTTGCGGCGACTGCAGAAGCCTGGAAACTTACGCCTGGAAACTTACCAATAATATTTTTGTCCTGAGGGCTCCTTAGCGCAATTATACTACAATAGTCCCCGAAAGAAATTTATTTCCAATGATTAAGGTGAGGCTCCTATGGCCTCTATATAGAGGCTGAAAGGATACCGAAAGACCGTGCTGAAAGAAGTATGGCCAGACGACGGCAGTCTTCCGCCAGCTTCGGTAAAGTGCAACCGTGGCATTAACTGTTGTGGCTGGCGTGCCGTGCGGCGAAACCATCTCAGTATCAGACTAGGCAGAATGAGGTTTCAGTTTGCCAGACATTCAGGCGATTGCACAAGCCCTAATGCAACGAGTTTGGCGGATGTGTTCACAGTAACAGCAGTCGGTAATGATGATGACGATGATCATGACGGGCCTTTCTTGAAGCTGATCTGGATTGGAGATGTGAGCCCTGAAGTGTACTTCGTCTTTTCGAAATTGCCAAGCGTGGTTGTGAATGGTTGACATGAAGCAGACGTTGGTGTGCGACGGGCTCTGCATCAGCAATGTCAACCTTAGACCCACAAGGTCCTCCGCTTCAAGCCTTGTGCCGTAAGTCGAGGAAGACGGATGGTATTGCACCGCATCGGCTAAGCGTTTGCCGACATAGCCTTCCTGACAAAGCCCCCTGCAACCTCGCCAACCCGAACTCCTCGTATCCGTAAGCTGGGGTGCCTAGCGCTTGCGGCTGCAAGGACTCTACACAGTGATAAACAGTGATACTACATTGGGGCTTTTTTTTGTTTGTTTACTAAAGCCCGCAGTATATTAAGCCCTGACAAAGCCCTTATGGTAAGACGTCTCTTTAAAGAAGGCCCCCGAAACCCTAAACCCCACAAGCCACAAACCCTTATGTCCGGAACATGCATCGTTCACAAAAAAAAGGCATAAACCCTATAAGCCCCAAGCCTTAAACCCTAAGCCCTGAGACCTCTAAACCCTAAACCAAACAGTGTCGCCAGGTCGTGGTCTTACAGCCTTCGGAGTTTCTCTTCTGCGAGAACGACGCGCCGCAAGTGCTTCAGCTTCCGAAGCAGGAGTTAGAGGTTTTAGATTTTGTTTAGGATTTAGGGCTTAGTGTACTCAGAGCTTGTATAGGGTTTAAGGTTTTAGAGTTTGTCTGGGGCTTAGAGGATTTAGAGCTCAGGGTTTGAACCTTTAGGCTTCGGGTCCAGGGGTTTAGGGCTTGCATTTAGGGTTCGGTTTGGGGTTTATTTAGGGTTGGGGTAATGGCCTTTTCCTTTAAATATTCCCCACAGTCGTAAAGGATGTACAGAAGGTATGGAGCCCCCAAAGCGGCAGCCATGTGTATGGAAGTCGTTATGGCTTCGATCTGCCCCACGGTAGCCCTCGGACTGCAAGTATACGAATAGTACCTTCATTGGGGCTTAAAGTCTATGAAGCTACGGATACGTAGTACCTTAGTGCCTATTTGGGGCTGTTTGGAGTCTTAGGGTAGCTAGGAAGTACTTCGCGTTAGCAGCTGGCGCCTTGGCTTTGTAACAGACTTCGTGTCCAACAGAGCGGCATATCCTGCGGCTCAGGTTTCGTGTTAAGTTGGGGAGCCGGATTTCGTAAATGCATCTAGGGTTCATATCATGGACTTCGCGACTCACCATTTGCCGAAAAGGGCCTTGTCGTAGGACGGACGGAGAGCTTCCGAAGCCCAATCCCAAAGCATCCTCGACGCTGTAGGATGAGTGGCAGGTCGGGAGCGGCTATGAGATGTAATTCGGAAAACCCTAATCCCTAAACCCTAAACCTCTGTGACAGCCCCACTCAGGATTTGTGCTTTCTGGAGACAGGTACTCTCATGATCACATCGCAGGAGACACGAGCGCGAAGAGTTGAAGCTTTCGGACTTGATGTGCAGTTTCGGGTCACCTAAGGAGCAAGGTTGTATAGTAGAAAGGTTACTAAAATGGGTTGCTGCAACGGTCACGATAGGGCATCAGGGTTACTATACGGCCTAAAATCTGGTTTCGACCAGAATCATCAGAGACTGGCCGCATTCGGGTTGACTGCGGGGATGGAATGATTGGCGGACTCGGTCGCTCCAAGGCAGGTCTTAATCATTGAAGAAGTGCAGGCACAACAGTAGCTCCGGCATCTGAAATTCAACGTCTGTGGCTCTTTGTTCGTGTTTTGTTGTGTAGTTAGGTACTAACTGTTACAATTCAATGTCACTATACCATGCCACTCTCGATTCAACTGTATCTCGAACTGGAAACATGCTCCTCGCAGGAGCAGCTGGTCCGGTACGTCAGAAGCGTTTCTTGGCAAAGGCAGCAGATAGCTGCGCAGACTTCTACACCAAAGCCAGCTCATTTTTGGGGGACCTCAGCCTGTTCATCCCATCTGCTCGCAAGCCCCGATAGTTTCGGTGAAGCCCTGGAAAATGCTTCACCGAAGCTGACCTGCAGTATCCCTCCCGCCCAGGATAGGCCGAATGAGCCCACAGCTGTGGGCGAGGTGTCCTTCGTCCTGAAAATGCCACATCTTTACTCTGCACCTTGGCCTGAGAGGGGATGGGAATCCGCTTCTGCCGTCGTTTTCACAAGCAGTCTTACCTTCACAGTGTCCAGAGGTTCACAACAAAAGCGTCTTTGTATGGTTCATGTTTTCGCGTTTGATTGTGCGTGTTCCCCAAACATTTCTCCACACGTTATGCTATCCTGTAAAGCTTGAACCCAACATGTAAAACATACGCAAACGAGTAGCAGTTGGACGAAGTGCCAATATAGCATCCGGAGGCTTTACGAAGGAGCCGCTTGCGGCACTGGGATAGGGTCTCGAGGGTCATGTCAGACTCTGAATCTAAGCCACTTCCAAGGCAACAGCAATGTCATTCTTGACTCACTAACTCAAAATCTCGAGTCGCGTACAGGTACGGTCTCGCTCCGGTGTCGAGTCTTCCATCCTCAAGATCACGACAGACAACTTTGAGTTGATCATGTCGAATTTGGATTCCGATCGTGAAGCCTGGCGTGCAAGGGGAGTCAATGAGAAATGGTTTCGGTCCGTAGGACCTATCGGGTCGATGGTCTGATTCGCGAGAGAGAGTTTAGGGCTTCACGGTTTTAGGGTTTGGGGATTGGTAGGCCCTGTAACACACCATTTCTAGGAATAAGTATTGATGAGATTGGTGATAATCACCGGGCTACAGTATTTATAAGGCATGACCTGTATGGAAGTATCTAGCTAGTGCCAGCTGCGACTGCGCTGCAGCATCACTGCGAGCGGATTGTGGGGGAACGCAGTGCGTTGCCATTTCAGGACCAGCTTCTTCACAACGTCGCACAGTCTATGAAGCTATCCATGAATGGCACCGATCTCAAAAAGGGCGCGGTGATGCACGACGGCCAGGACATAAGCCTGGTAGTTGCTGTAACGTGTGCTTTTGCTGCTGCCGAAGGTTACCCCGTCTGTAGCAACGAAACCTATAAGAAGGGAACAGTGAAGCAGCTTGTTCGTGGATGTCCGATTTAAAATGTTGATTCTGACTTCAACTTTAATCGACAAATACCTGAAGTGGTAACTTTATGCAGGATGAGACCGAGTTCTTCCAGCACATGAGGGAGTCAGTGCGTCAGATGTCGCTTGTCTCGAGGAGCAGGTGCTCGATTTACGGTTATTCATTGGCTCTGCTGCGCTTGCGTGCAGCTGCAGAGCAATGACATACACTTCTCAGCACTGGCAACTGAGGCTGTTGAGTCGAACCGCGCACATGTCCATCACTTTCATCAATGCGGCAGCGGAGGGGAATATGGAGCAGGCAAGTTATGTCAAACGCAGCACAAAAAGGCTTCTGGTCTGGACCCCAGTCAATGTCTAGCTATGGAAACGCTTGATTTCGAAGGGAATCATACAAAAGACGGACTCTAAACTTGCATCGAATTAAGCAGCTGCAGTTTATGCAGTAAAGTGGGCCGCCTACAGCATGACAAGCAACTCCGTCGAATGCTGAACTGCAACAAGCAAGCTCTGTATCCGTCTTTTGGTTCTGAGATACAGATAGGCCCGGCTTCTGTGACAGGTGGAGCTGCTTCTCCGCAAGCGTGTCTCCATCGACACAGCGAAGCTTGGTCACGTCGAATAGTGCCCTCCTGCCTTGGCTTTGACAAGAGTGCAGGTAATTTAGACCCCTAAGGGTCCATGTACCCAAATAGTATATACTTTGGCCTTAATGTAGTCCCTATGTAGGTACTTTAGGGCCAATGCATGTACTATTTGGGTACATGGACCCTTAGGGGACTGCACGTGCTCACCAACTTTCATTGTTGCTATTGATGTTGGCGTGCCTGCTCCGGCTGATTCTGGATCGGTGCTGGTACCACAATGACGATGAAGGCCGCATGCACCAGCTACGGCAATGATTATCATATTGTGGTTGAGGATGATGGTGAAGATGATGCTGCTGCTGCTGATGACGATGATGATGATAATGATGATGCTGGTGATGCTGATGATGCGGATGGTGATGCCGTCGCGATCACGACCACCCCCGCCACCGCCGCCGTCGCTACCACCACCGGCAGCCACCGTCACTCCCTCTATACTGAGACTACGTACAACGTAAACGAAGGTGAGCACGATCACGGAGATTCGGCATACCCGATCAATCTGTGTTACCCTTTCTCTAGGTTAGGATGAACGACCGGCTTTCGCAAGCATCCATGGTAGTCACGGCAGCTTCCGGACGACATAAACCTCAAAACAAACTTGACAAGTGCATTGGAAGCAAGGAACTGCGATGGCCGAACCGCGATGCACGTTGCAGCCGCCGAGGGCAGGGAGAATGCACCTAGTTGCCTTTCAGAGCGGACTTTGGCATCTGGCTGGATGGGGCTTTGAGGATGTGTAGCGGCCAAGGCTCAGGGCGCCGCCCAGCAGCCTGCAGAGTATGACCTTTGGTAGAGCCTGGAGGGAATCCAATTACCCAGCATGCTGAGGGCATACCGAATCCCATCTAGTCGGGCAGGAGACCAACCCCCTAAACCCTAAACCCTAAACCCAACCCGAGAACCATCGTGAGGAACTCCCGGCCATGAAGTCCGAAAGGCCCGGACCCGACAATCCGAACCCCCGAAACCCAAATACTTGAGTTTTGAATCCCACAGCCCATAAAACTGCTCCTCCATCGCCCCCAAACCCAAAATCCACCACCCCCACCACCCCAAAGAAGAAGATCTATTAGAGATGCAGCTCACCACAAAACGTTTTAAACCCAGAACCCTACACCGTCTTGAAGCCATCGCGAGTGTGTGGGTCGACACCCTACGCCGCCACTTTTGTGGCCTGTCCGAGGTTAGGACATTCTTGAATTTAAAGTGTTTCACTTCATCCGACTACGCACCAATAACCTCGCCTAACTTGTCCGAATGCGAGCGCCTAAACCCTGAACACTGAACCTTTGCAGACCTCGAACCATATGGCTCGCCTGGACTGTCCGAGTGTGAGCGCCGAAACCCTAAACGCATCCTGTCAGCTTTGTGTCACTCCGATTATGGCACCTATGGATCCTCGCCTTTTTTGTCCGAGTGAGAGTGTATACACCCAAACCCCAAAGCCTAAACCCTTAAACCCTAAACCCTAAACCCCTAAACCCTAAACCCTAAACCCCAAACCCAAGGTGATTAAGGCCTTGGTGAAAGCTGAAGGCCGGCCTCGTCTTGCAGGGCTTCGAAAATTCGGGTTTTTTTGGGGGCTTATGGGGTTTAGGGGTTTAGGGTTTAGGGGTTTATGGGGTTTAGGGTTCTGCACAAGTCTGTGCAAAAAAGGGTTACATGGGGTTTATAAGGTTATGGGTTCAGCGCAGATGCAAAAGGGTGTTTCTGGTTTGAGTTTGGGACTTTAGGGTTTCGGTTTCGGACGTGAGAGCTGTACGGTTTGGGATTTCAGAACCTTGAGATTTCGGTGCTGACATAGTTCTTTCCGGTCATATGCCTGGTCTTCCTCTCCTACTGCATGATCCTACCAACATCTGCTAACATACAATTAGATAAGGTAAGTCTTTCTGTGGGTTCATCAGGGTTATAACGAACAAGAGTCATATGTCGCAGTGGGGTCTCCTTTAGCATCAGATTCAACGCTATGTTCGCCTGGAGGAACTTCTGGGTGTAGCATGTGCAGATTCAGTGGTTCGGGTCTTAGGAAACTGCTTTCATGGGTATAGGGAAGCTTATTGTTCGTCCTTCTACAGCTTTAGATTCGGCATCGGTAGCTGCATTTCGGGGATTCGCAGGATTTTGCTGGTGACCTTGCTTTTTCGGAATAAGAGACAGGTTCGGCCAGGCCATTTCCGCAAGGGCATGGGATCATTTAATGTAAGGATTTGATGTAAGGGTACTTACTACACGGCTTCGAGAAGATTTAGGGTTGAGGATGTAACCACCTAATGTTTGAGATTCAGCCTTGCTTCAGACCAAGCTAAGCTGTTTTGAGAAGCTGCTCTTGAGCCGCTGTGCTTCGATGTTTGCAGCTGATGTTGCCTGCTCATGCCGGCGTCAAAGGAGTACCCGTCGTATTTATAGAAGTCAGCCATGCTGTGGTGAGGTGTCGGTATTGCAACCGTGATTCCTGGAGTTAGTATTGCAGCATTGCAGCATGAACAGAGGCAACACCGAGTGGAAGAAGGCTCTCCAAAAACCGGAAAGTGCCTTAACCAATTCTACTGAAACATCGAGGACCCCAAAACCCGGGTGAGTGGAACAAGCTGCTCTGCAAAGCTGGATGCCCAAGCAAAATGCAGGAGTCGAAACTCAAAAGTAGTTTCCAGGCATCACAGTAGCATAGTCGGGCCGACGTAATGCAACGCACTGAAACAGGAAGCAAGGTAGACACCCAATTCACCCATGCGCCCCAGTTGTGCGGAATTGCCGCGGGTGGCTGGAAGCGTGCGGTGAAGCCAACCAGCTGTCTGCATGCTGTTGTGAACTCATACAGCACCAGACAGCCCAAAAGACTTAACCCCCAAGTACGAACCCCTGTCTTACCCCCTCAGCTTTGCAGGCAACGTCAATCTGCAAGATCGCTGGAAAGGAACTCCCCTCCGGGCGGCCTGGATGCAACGGCCGTCTTGCCAGGAGCTGATGTACATGTTTGTGGATGGGTTCTGGCTCAGGTGCCCTTTGATTTTTGAGACTTCGGTAGGGAAGGGTGCCAATTTTAGAAAAAAAGACTGATCGGATGTACATGCCTGAGCAGTACAGTATATCACTTCAAGACAACCTAGTGCCGGCACACTCTTTCCTATATAGAAGTGGTTTGCACACGAAGTTGAGGCAACAGTCCTTCAAGCAGAAGACGACGATTAGTTTGGGTTGGTAATGTCATTGTTGCCCATAGGCCATAGGCCCTAAAGCGGTTCCTTTTTGGGGTTCATATATGGAATCCTATAATTTAACCCCAAAAAGGAACTACTATGGGGCCTATGGGTGGTCACTACGTACCAAGGATGCGGTCCTGGGAAAGTTCAGCGCAGTGACGGAAATCTTGATCGATCAGAACGCGGACCTCAATCTCGAGGACTGCTCAAGTAGGGCTCAGAGTTTCGGGGTTAACGGTTGGGGACTTGTAGTTTCTTGGAGTTGATTGGTGTGTTGGTTCTGCAAGCAACGGCTTGACCCGCAAACCTCCCAAGCACTAATCAGTCAGATTTCACCGAGCACTAAACGCACCTGATGTCCAGATCAATCGCGTACGTGTGGGGAAGGATGGTCGAAATCTACATGGGCTTCACACGCGGGCCGTTCACCTCCTAGATCCAAGAGTTTGAAAGAATTGCTGGTAGTCATAGCGTTCAGGACGTGCGGTGTGACGGGCAATGGCCTTATGGTTTGGGCTGCTTAGGCTGTTTTGTGGCACTGGAAATCTCGCTCCTAGCCGTCTGTATATCACGGACATGAGAGAGGCCAAGTTAGGTCTTAGGTGCCAAACTGCGAGGACCCCGCCACCGCCTTGTGCGACGCTGCTTCGAGTGGAAACCTGATGGCCACTAAATCGCAAGGATCTGGCGCTAGCATCCGAGTGCTGTCACCCCAAACAGTAGAATGCTAATGACAATGACATCTAGAGAGAGACATCCTGAATTGTCACAAAGGCTTTGTCTCTACATACCTACCTGGCTATCTGTAAATCATCGGCCCGCTTAGTCGTCTATCTCTGATGGCGGTGTCGACCGATCTGTATATGTGTGGATATGTAGGTGCGTAGGTATGCATGCATGCGCGTATATGCGTGTGTATGACGTACATGGGTGGGTAGGTAGGTCGGTAGGTGGGTCGGTAAGTAGGTGTGTAGGTAGGCAGGGAGGCAGGTAGGTAGGTGGGTAGGGGTAGGTAGGCAGGCAGGCAGGCAGGCAGGTAGGTAGGTAGGTAGGTAGGTAGGTAGGCAGGCGGCTAGGGTACGTAATAAGGTATGTATACGTGCCGATCTGCCTTCAAAGGGTTGTTCAACAACCCATTGGTTTGCAAGTTTTTTGCATATGAAACCATAGACTATAATATGTTCATTGGTTTGCAAGTTCTTTCGCATATGCATAAATAGAAGTATATGGGTACTTTCAGATATGTTAAAACAACAAATTATGCAAGCATAAAGGGTTATATATGTATATATATATATATAACAGCAAGAAAATGCGACCAATGGTAATTTCAACAATAGTGATAATAATAATAATTATAGTAATAATAAATAGTAATAGTAAGTATATACTACTTAGAAGAAAATATAGGAATAATAAGACTATAGACATATATGAATACATGTATTAAGCATGTGGATATACACACAGAGACAGGGGCACATGCACACAGATCAATAAACATACGTACATATATACATATGTACATGACTGTGTTTATGCATGTACGCATGTACATACGTATTGTCTAGTATTGTCCTGAATTGTCTTGCAGTGTATGCCTGTATGTGTTGTAAGTGTTGCATGTGTTTCATGTTCTATATGCACTGCATGTATGGTCTGTGTTGTTTGGTTTGTATGTATTGTGTTGCACTGCGTTGTGTTGTATGCATGTATGTCTGTGTATATATAGCTATATGTATGTATGTAATGTAATGTAATGTAATGTAATGTAATGTAATGTAATGTAATGTAATGTAATGTAATGTAATGTAATGTAATGTATTGTATTGTATGATTGCAGGCATGATACGCACAGCAGTTTGCTGCCTTGTGTGGCGTGATGTCTGCAATGGCTTCCATACTATACAACAATACACACATGTCGCGATGTGCATTCAATCAAATTGTTCAAAAACCTATTGGTTTGAAGGTTTTTGTGCATATGCATTATATGCAAATGTATCGACATGCATGCATGCATGCATGCATGCATGCATGTATGTATGTATGCATGTATGTATGTATGTATGTATGTATGCATGTACGTATATATATATATATGTGTATGTATGTATGTATGTACGTATGTATGTATGTATGTATGTATGTATGTATGCATGTATGTACGTATACATACATATGCCTTGGGCTCCGTGCATGTGTTTCAGCTTGTTTGTCATGAGCTTTCGACCAGTCTCGCAAAGCTGCAGTGTCAAACTTCTGCGGCGAAGTTTCAACCCTGCAGGGCATCGAGGGCTCTGCACGCTATGAGAAGCCGGATGGAACCTTAGCCCAGGCCCTCAAAGAGCTCATCGAGGTCAAGATCGATCCGAACAGCATCTCGTCTCATTCCGTCACGGCGTTGTCAACCTGCGGCCTTACGTTAGAGTTTGGGGGTTACTTGTATCTGTTATGGGGGGTAGAGCTGCAAGTAGTACATCCTTGCTGGACCCACTGCGGAGCAACTCTCGCTGCTCTTCGAGACACCTCATTCCGTTCCTCCGAAAGACCCGAAGCCTCAAGAAGAGCCTCAATGAGCTGATTTGAATTGCTTCCTCCAGCATCCGTAAAATAAAGATATGGTAAGACATCCTTTTTCGGACGCCGCTTGGAGCCACAAGGCCTTAAATGGCCCTTGCAGAGGTGGGGACTACGACCTCCGCACGGCCCTGCACCTGGCCGCTTCCGAGGGGAAGTTGGAAGTCCCCTGGCTTGGAAGGAGGGCAACCCTAACCCCCCAGGCACTCACTATATAGGGTCCTAGAGCTCATAGGGCCCTTTGTAGTAGGTACCTGGAGGCTTTGGGTCGTGTGGTCGTTGCTGTGTTTTTCCTAGGGTTTAGGCCGAGTGTTTACGGCGGTTTAAGGCATTATTCGGGTTTCGGCTTCAGGGTTTAGGGTCGGTAGCGTTTCCTAGCTCTCACTATTAGCCTTCCTTTTCATATGAGGGTGTGCGAGCTCTTTGTCGGCAGCTTTGTATTGCCGTTGACAGCTTGGGGCGGAGGACAGTGCTCCGGGTTCGATACTGCACTACCTGCCTTTCTTCTGCGGTACCAGTAGCGGTATTTTTAATAGTGTTTAGTAGTTGTTCTTGTTGTGTACATGTGGCTGAGTCTTACAGCTAGTCGAGGCTTTTGATTCTGCATTAGAACAGTCTTGTCTAAATCTATAGTACCTCGCTCATGGCATTGTAAACTTTCAAAACGACGCCATTGTATTTTGGAGCATCAACTGAAGGAGCCTTCTTGTTTCTGCTCACGTTTTTAAAAGCCTCAGCTTTTCTCTGTCTTGTGAATACGAAAGAACAGTGTTAGGTGAAGATGGGAGGAGGCTTAGGCGAGAAGACGGGAGCCTTTTCATGTCTTGTTGGACGGTGTAGCATCTAGCAGCTCTCTTGGTTTTATTGCTGCTAGTATGGCGCAAATGAGTCTGGTTATTCGTTTGCATGAACCAAGTCGTCTTTTGCTCTTTGCTAAGAGAGCAGCAACGAACGCTTTCCGAGATATTTCGTCCTAACTCCCACGAAGCATAAAAATGGTATACCGGTGTACTTCCATATTCCTTACCGGGAAAGGAAAGGTTGATCATTACTGGGTCTTTGCTTGCTAGCACACGAACATCTGACTTGTTCTAGTTGTAGCAAGAGTTGTTGCATTCCACATGATATGAAGAAGCGAGTTGCTGTTCCATTCGTGTTACGAAGCGTAAGCTACTTCTGATCGAACGTATTTGGAGTACGGCGGAGAGAGACTCTGGAACGAGAAAGGCCAAGTTTTGGACATCAAGAGTTGTCACGAAGCAGTATACCAAGAGCGCGGCAGCATAACCAGAATCCAAAACCAGGATCTGGTTTCGTGTCTGGGGTTGTTTACATACGATGTAAAAGAAAAAAAGAGTGAGGTATACATGTACATGAAGTGCAGAAAACACCGTAAATACCGATAGATTGGGACTCCAGGATGAAGCGTCTTGGGACATAAGACTACAAAGAGTTAGTTGCTAAGAAGGCTCGGCTGGATCATGGGGGGGTGTGACCATATATATATATATATATGCATCTACCTATCTATCTGTCTGTCTGATTGTCCGCCTGTCCATCTGCCTAAATATCTTCTCTTTACGGTACAATGCCGTAAACCACGGTACCCTAAGCTGACATGGACTAAACGAACGCAGTCACGCTCAACCCACAGCGTTCTTTGCACCCCGACATTCTAAGAAGCTCGAGACGGCAGCAGTAGCAGTGGTACTGATCGCAGTGGTCGTGGTGGTTGCGGTTGGGCTCTAACTCTAGCTAGCTGTAAGGGATCGCCGACCTCAAACTCGTCTTGGAGTAACTGCCGGGTTTTTGGTTTGAAGAGGGTGTTGTCTCCTTCTGGCGATTTTCGTGCCTGTTGTGGGGGGTTGAGAGTTTGCCTCAGCACGGACGTGGTTGAGCGATGAACCGCATTCCCGCCGCCACCTAACGGGAGCCAAATCCGCAGAGGTCGCGGAATCCGCATTTGCCCAGAGCATGCTTCCGCGATCATCGAAGCTATTCGGTCATGAATTTGTATTACAATGCTGCAATCTGACTGTTGTGTTTGTTTGCTTCGCATGCGGCTACCTCTTTCTCGACTTAGACTTACACGTAGACTTAGACTTAGACTTAGACTTAGGACATCCTCCTTGTACAAGTATTTACAGAAATGCTACTTTCGGGTTGAGCAAGGATCGCAATCCACTAGATTTACCGGCACAGGCTCGGCCTTGCAGGAAGCTATTCGGATGGCGGCATGTTCAGTGACGACATTGGCCGAAGACAGTTTGAACTTGACAGCGTACCAGAATGAGTAACCAACGCTTGTGTTGCCGAACACTGTGGCGCCTAAAATCTGCGGATGAACAAGAATCTAGAAGGTCCGCGGGCAGACTATATGGTGCTGCTGGATGGCTAGTTAAAACAGTTAGAGGGGTCATGTGAAGACCGTTTGGGAAGAAATGTATGCCTGTTGTATGTGACCTGATTTTCAGAAATCCTCGCCTGGAGTGTTGGAGTTGCGAAAGTTGAAACTCCAGGCCGCTTCCCTCCAAGCAGAGTCCGTGAAAGTGGAACGGCACCAGGAAGATTAGCATGGGCCCCGCGCAAGGATGACACGCAAGAATCGAGCAGTGCAACGAAACAGGTAACTTAACCCTAAGCCCAATGTCGGATGCAACAAAAGCTCCACCTTTTCCCTAGCCCTAGACTCCCTCTTTGCCTAAACCCCTACACCCTGCTCTAAACCCTATGTGTGGAACCTGGCCTGCCTTCTGCGACAGAGTCGAAACTGAACCTGTCTCAGGTCATCTCCTTTCTCTTAGACTCTCGTGCCAACCCAAACTTCAAGGCTCGGGGTCTCCGATTTTGCGGTTCTCTGCGGTACGTATGTGCGTATTTATATACGTATGTTTGTGTATATGTAACGTCTACGTGCGTGTGTATGTATATGTGTATGCAAACGTATACAGACATACTCACATACATACATACATACATACATACATACATACATACATACATACATACATACATACATACATACATATACATATATATATGTGTGTATATATAAGGGTTCTGGATCGAGCCACATGTGTCTGCTTTTGGACTAGTTTATACACCTTGTGTAGTGTTTATGCATGCGGATACTTCCTGCACTTGGTGTTATTTACGCATTTGGTGTTTGGACCAATAATGTCACTACACATGCATACAAACACACATATACATCCATATACATCATATACATATCATACCCTGCCCTACCACACCATATCACACCCAACCCTACGCGACCATACCATACCATGCCATGCCATACCATAGCAGTTCAAAACATAGCAGAACATAGCATGCTGTGCAATGCTTTCCATTCCGTTACGTACAGCCATGCAGGCATGCATGCATAGGTACATCCTCATTCGTTCATTCCCTTAGACTCTGTATCCTGGAAATGTGTGCAGCAGTGGGCGCGAGCATACTTGGAACTGCAGAACCAAGCCCGACATCGAGCAAATTTGCACAAAAGGGTCTACGTTGGTCGGGGCTTGGGCTCCCAAATTGAGTTCACCGGTGCCCAGATAAACAACAGAAGTGAATCCTGAACCACTCCTGAACCCGAAACCCGAATTGGTCGAAGATACGCCGGTGTGCTTTTGGTGGTTCCATGCTGCTTTCTATGGAGAGTCTCTGCAGCGTTGTGTTGGGAGTCCTTGCCTTGATTTGCAGCCCTACATAGGGTTCAGGTTTATCAGGGCATTATCCAGACTGCCATGAGAGATAACTCACTCAGCACCGCAGAGGCCCAAAAAATCGTCAAATCCTGTGCAGGACCGTTGGGGTGGTACTGCTCTCGAAGATGCCATTCAGAACAACCACTCGGCCGGGGCCTTGTGCTGGGTCAAAGTTCGAAGGTTGAAATTACTCACCACTTTGCTCAGCATTACAAGTACTGGTGAGTTGCATAGATCTTCAAACTGTTGTTTGCAGCAGTTGTCGTCATGCAGCTGCAGCGGCAGGGGTGGTGGAAGCCGTCGTTGCAGTCGCAGTCGTCGTAGCTGCAGCGTTAGCTGCAATAGCAGTAGCTAAAGCTGTAGCAGTGGTGCACAGGGTTTGGGTGTTTGGGGCCCAGGTCAGGGCCGCGGGGTCGCTCCAATCTAGTTCTGCAGGTTAGAGTTAGAGGTCGCGAGCGACTAAGGGCTCTTTGCCTCCTCGCCCCGCTCCAACGTTGTCTGGCCAGGGGTTCTTATGAACGCTTAGAGGTCTAAGACCCCCAAGGAGTTTTACAGGTGGCAGGATGGGGCGTGATGGTGCTGAAGAAGGAGGGGAAAAAGCATCCTGCGACTGAGAGTCCTGTTACAGCCGGCACTGGTCTTGGCACTCATACCACAAATCAGAACAAGGACTGGAGCATTGAGACACGGAAAACGATCAGTTTGAGGTCATCATGTTTTCACTTGCCGGATCATGCACGGTATAGCATGTTTGGCGATGCAAAGTAGTCGACAAAACGAACCTGCTCTACTAAGCAAGCCATGCGAGAGGGAAAAACAGCAAGTCTGAGTCTGGGTCACAGAGCCAAAGCATAACAGCCGAAGCGCACAGCCAAAAGACACCTTGTGATTTGTCCACTGTGTGGTATAGAAGCACATCTTACTTATCAGTTATGGAATCACACGAGATTGAAAGCTGCTATGCACCTCACGAATCTGGAGTCGATAGGTGCTTGTTCCATATGCAGGCTTGCTAGAGGCATGTGCAGAGAACGTGAGGCTTACCTATCTGTCTATCGTTCCATTGTGCTGAAAGGTGTGCAGCGAACGTCAAGCCCGAAAAAAGTACGATTCTCGTCGAAGGTTGCCGCGCAATTGATCTTCTCGAAGAAGGGTGGACTGCGGCAGGTCCCGGATGCATCTGGATCGTAGAGTTGAGTTTGAGTCGAGTTTAGCAGGTGAAGGCGTAGAGTTCTCAAGATTCACAATTTGGGAAAGAGTTAGGGCGGCGTGACGTTGCAAGGCAGACGTTACACGTTGCAAGCCAGTTGCACAAAGGGTTCAGGGGAGGTTCGGTGGGATTCACACTATCGGGCGGCGGTGGAGGCCTGATATGGCCTGATGGGAAAGCGCCTCCAGGCAACCCCAGTTCTACCGTGGCCAGGGGCGATGGCACCCTTGTATCCTATCCTTTCAACCCTGAGCGTGAACCTTGTAAACGTGATTCCCCCAAACCTTAAACCTATATTCTTTCAACCCTAAACTCTAAACCCTATAATCATGAACCCGAAACCCAGCAAACTCTGCAGGAGCTTGCAGCTGGATGGCTTTGTGACGCTGCCTCCGCAGGGAACATCCTTAAGCCTTCTTCCTGCATTCCTACATACTTCGGTCTGGGCACAGAGGAATTCGAGGGAGGAGTCATGTTAGGGACGAAGGTCCTTGAAGCTTGGTTGTGACTTCCCGAACCACCAGAATAGCAGGGACTTTTGGGGTTTGTGGGTGTTAACTCACACATTTCCAAAGGCGCAGCTGCCAAAGAGCGCTTGTCCGAACGGCTCTGTGGAACTTTCGTAGCAGGACGATTTCTGAAGCTGCATCGCTTACATCATGAATTGGCGGTTCTGTGTCTTTGTCTTTGATATGCTGGAAGGCTTGTTGGCCACACCAGAAGCCAGTTAAGCAGTAAGATCGAACCCCTAAATCGTTCCATACTTTGAGTCCTCAGCCATAAACCGGCCAGAGCAGTCAAGCCTGGCGAGGTTGCAGCAGCTTATCGAAAACTCCGTGGACGTGAATATCAGCGACTACGATGCGCGGACGGCACTCCACCTTGCTGCCACCGAAGGTCTCGCAGGGATTGAAAACCCAGAAACCCCACACCCTGGGATTCACCTGGCTACACCGAGTTTGACTGCTGTAGGTTGCGGATGCAATTTTTTGTGCCGAGCATCGTAGAACACCAGGGGCTTTCAACCCAGGCCGCGCTATCACCGGCACAGCACAGAATTAGGGCCTGAAAATGTGGTCTTGCATTGTTGTACAGATGTACGTGTTGTTGTCTTCTCCAAAGCGACATGCCTCGAAGCTTCAAGGCCCTAAGTCTTGAGAACCGGCAGGCCAGCTACTGGCTGTGAGCTTCCTGATCAGCTCTGCTCGTGCTTCTTGGTCCTGCAGTGCTTTGCTGGGTGTAGTGGGGCTATGCTTCCTCCCGGTTTCGGGTGCCTCGCGCGGCGTCTGATCGGTAGATGCATCCCGTGCTGTCTCGCACCTTGGTTGGCTCCAGCTCTGTTTGCGAGCGGACGCTGCGGCAAAAGCACCTCCAGTGACAGCCTAGCAGCACTCGTTGGGCTGACGCAAGATGTTTCAAGACTTCGGGGCTGTCAAATCTCCGTAGCAGTTCCTACAGGCTGCATGGATTGAGCAGTTTGGGGTAATGGACACGCGGCAGGCTTGAAAAGCGCTGGAGCTAACACTCACAGCTCTGCTCTCGATAGCACCTCAAGCCCAACAAAAATAAAACCGATATTTCTCAACCCTATGTTGATACTATATCAGAAACCATAACCCCTATGTAAAGTCTCACCAAAGAGTTCAAACCCTAAACCCTCGTCTGTCCTATTGCGGCCATGGCCTTGGAAACTGGTCTGGTGCAAGCCTTGAAGGCATTCTCGACCCCAAAGCGTGAGGCTCAGCACATGTTTTGGTAATTTACGAGATATATATATATATCTATCTATCTATCTATCTATCTATCTATCTATCTATCTATCTATCTATATATATATATATATACTTATGTATATGTATATATGTATATCCACCGAGGCTCTTTGTAACATAAGATTTGGGATTTGTCGGGAATAAGAGTCACTTGTCGATATGTTTACAGCTTAGGATTTGGACTTCAGGAAAAGTCGTGAATAGGTGCTGTTGTTCCTCGGCAATTGCTCTAATATCCTGTGGCGCCTCAACGTTTGCTGGTCCAAGGCGCGAAAGTACTACAGGGTTCTGAATATCTAGTAGTACAATACTATCCTCCTACAACATGCCCCAAGACCACGCCAAAAAACCGCCGCCCCTACCCTACGTAGCCTAAACCCGAAGCCCTCTGAACCCCTTAAGCCCGTTGAATCCTTTGAACCCTTTAAGCAATAAACCCTGGGTCTCCTACAGCGAATCCCGGAAAGTTGGAGCATGGGTTTAGGAGGATTAGTGCTAGGATCCCTTATACTTTACCTTCAGGGCAGGAGGATAATCATGTTCCAACTTTCTGGCTTCTACTATAAGACATGCCTGATGTACCTGAGGTGGTGGGAGATCGGGAACTCCGAGGATCTGGTTGCTTTCCCAAAGCTGTAGCAGTCAGACGAGTCATGTTGGTGCTTTGCCGGTTTAGAGCTTTGGGGGTTTAGGGGTTAAGGGTTTAGGGTAGTCATCAAGTCCGGTTTCAAAAGGGGTTTAGGGGTGTCTGGTTCTGGGGAGTTTGGCCGAAAAAATAATTAGGGCTTACGTCTCGGACTGCGGCCGTGAATTTGACGTGACACACGATCAATGCATAAGCCTTTTTCTGTGTTCTTCGAGTTTGTTTGCGTACCTATCTGCGCAGCTATTATGTGATCTCATCCGCTTCCAGGAACCAGGCTTTTGATTGTGCTTTCTGAGCGGCCCATAAAGCCTCAACCCGGCATTTGGCGTCAGGTGGCGCAAGCTGGAGCATGCGCAGTTCACAACATGGCGCAGTATATGCATGTAGCGCGGAACTGCGCAGCATGAACCTCATGGGCAAGTCCGAGTAAACCCTAGACCCAAAATCTTCAGCCTTAAACCCTACTTTACTTGTTAAGCACCACCCAGAGGCCTCAGCCGTTATATGGCGAATTTCCCCTTTGCCCTTGCTGACTAGACCCACGCGGGGTCTCAGGCGTGCGCAACCCCTAGACCCTTAACCCGGAGCCTTACCGGCCTTGTGCGGGTGTGAGAGTCGAAACTCTATCCTTTGCCAGGAGCGCCGGAAACGTTGCAAGCCGGGAGAGTTCGAGACAGCCTGCCGAGAGCGCCATGAGGAGATGAGAAAGGCTGATGCGTCGAGCGAATTATAGGGGTTCTATGTCAGGTTTAGGGTTTAGGGTTTAGGGTTTCCCTAAACCCTAAACCCTAAACCCTCATGATGTAAGGCCTGAGTAGAATTGAATAGGGCGTTTTTCGCACTTGCTGGCATGGGGAGGTCTACGAGTCTGCTATGGGGAATGATTCAGAGCAGCGTCCCAGCCCCAGCGTCGCAGCTTCTTACAGAGCTTTAAGCCTTGTTTGTCCTTGCAGCATAAGGCTGGCTGCGCAAAGTGAGCGGAGACGGAACATCTGCGGACAAAGTGGCAGCTCTAACCATGCTCATCCAGTTGTGCCCAGTGTTTTCGACACTCTCTTGCGATGGCTTACGGTTTTAATCTTGTTGACTATAATATCTCGGATTTACAGCCTGAACTTGCACATCGTGCCACACCGTTGTACATCCTCTGACAACGAGCTGGTGTTGTTATTATTTTTTGGAGCTGCTGCTACTGACTTTTATGTTCCATCAGCTCTACTCACGCACCACCCTGGCTTCATGGAAACCCTACATACGCCCTAAAAGCCTATAGACGGGAATAAAGCTTATAAAGCCCTGAAGCCCGAAGCCCAAACCCCTAAAACCAACCCCTACGCCCTGGAAAAGCTGAGGACGGGCTACATCAAGGCCTTGCTGACGATGGCCAGCAAGACGGCGCGAAGTGACTCCGCCATGGCTATGGATGCACTAAAAGTCTCCCGTCTGCAATTAACCCTAAACCCTAAACCCTCAACCCTAAACCGTTCAGGCTTTAGGGTTTTAGCTGAACAGGATCAGAGCCTGGCTTCGAGGGTTTAGGCAATTAGGGTTCAGGGTTTGGCAAGCTCCCGGGCAACGATGCAAGCCCGCTGCAAAAGGGTTTAGGGTTTAGGTGGATCTTAGATCAAGCCTGTGTAAAAAGGTGGATCTTAGCATTGAGCACTGAGTCAGTTGGGAGACCGTGTAGGAACCCCTTGCTGAAAATGCAGGTCTGCTGTACATCAAACATACATCTCGCAAAGGGTGCCTTTGGCCCTTTATGTCCATAGAAATCCGACGAGATAATCGCGAAACATCTTCAAGGGCTAGTTCCCTGTGGGGGAACGGTAGCGGATCTTTTAGCACATCCACTTTCAGGCTTGTTCGGTCAGCTGACCCAGCAGCGAAGAGGGTGTACCAGCGACGAGCAGGTTGGAAGCTAGACAATTCAGTTGAGGTTCTAGGGTTTCAATGGCTTTGAAATACTTTCTCGACACCATTTAAAATCGAGCCTCCAGCTCGTCCGTCCGAACTTGAAGCTCGCGTGAGTAGATGCAAATATCGATGCGAACAACTCCCCTCATCCCAGGAACTTCTCACGGGCACGCTGCTGCCGGATCGGAAGCTCAAGACGCTGAAGCAGATGGACCCTGTGCCACGAATCCGCAGTGAAATTGCTGTCTACTCTAGACCCTGCACCCTCAACCCCCAAACCGTAATATAGAGACCTTAATAGTTAGAATAAGGTTTTGGGCTCCTTTGTAGCTTTAAGTATATTAAGGAACCGCCAAAATAGTATAGGTAATCCTTTCCCCCTGATATTAAACGGGGGGGGGCCCTCCCCCCAATAGATACTCGGAAAGTGTTTCTATTATTACGGGGTATTTTTATCTATACTGCCACTTTTGAGGGGACGTGCTCTTGCTGCTGCACTGGCTCTTGCTCCCGTGCTGGCTTTTGCTCCTGCTTCTGCTGCGTCTCTTGCCCCGCTCCTACTCTTGCTGTTGCTCCTGCTCTCGCTCTTACTCCCGCTCGTGCTCCTGCTTCGCTATTGCTGATGCTCCGGCGTTTGCTGTTGCTCCTGCTCTTGATCTTACTGTGCTCTAAGGGTATTTGGAGCCTCGAAGCCCTCCCCCAATTCAGAATAGGTTTTAAAAGGCAGGGATGATTTCGGGGGAGGATTGGGCCTTTTTTTTAGGGGGTGTTTAATAAAAGGGGGAAGCGATTAAATATCCTACATTAAGCTCACTAAGCCCTAAACCACCAAAGCTCGGACTTTCTTGAAGACATGCCTGCCTTGTGCGAGTGCGTTTGTCGAAGCCCTTAGCTTGTACCCTAAACCTTTGGCCTTTCGGAGAGTTTCAAGACCTTCAGCCGAGCTTTAGTCAGTACTTCCGAAGGTTTTGCCCCAGCTTCGCAGGATTTATTTATGGCTGGCTGCAACCCACTAAGCCCAAGGTTAACCTCAAGCCCCAGTCCCTAACGCCTTATCCCAAACGGCCAGTAGAAACGACGAGAGGTACAGTGAGGCTGAGGATGTCACAGAGTCGCTATTAAGCAAACAGAATATTATTTTCAGGAGAAAAAGTAGTTCGCATCCTAAACTCTGAACCCTGAACCTTTGCAGGACCATCCGCCCGGTAAGGACGACATGGGTACATTCAACCGAAGCCAATCAGAAGCCAGCAGGCCTGCGGGCTTGCTGATATACTACATACGTTTTTCTTCAGCTTAGCTGTCTGCAAAGCGACCAACAGCAGAAGCAAAGAAATAATCGAGACGACACAATAGAGAGTCAGGTAGTTTGAAAAGAAGAGGCAAAAAAGGGCAATCCCCGCAAAAACTTGCAAAGACTACACATGACACAGGGAAGCGAGAGGAGAGAGAGAGAGAGAGAGAAACGGAGACCAGGAGACTAAGAGAGCAACATCAAGAAAAGAAGGCCAGGACCAGACAGACAGAGAGAGAGCGAGAGACAGATAGAGGGAAAGAGAATAGGTGGGCAGGGGTAGGGTGGGACAGTGGCACTCCGCTTCATGTTGAGGGGCAGAAATCCAGGGGCGGTGACCAGCAACTCGCACCATCCCGGAAGTATGGCCAAGCTGAAGCGAGTTTTGTCTCGTTCGTGTGCCGGGAGGTATAGCAGGCATTTCTTGAGCTCCCAGGTCACCAAAGGGCCTCAAGAAGTCCACATTCACCGAGATCTGCGTCGTCGCTTTCTTTGAGGAGCTCTGAGTTGCTCAAGATGCTTCAGATGCATTCCCGTGCGCAGGGCTGGAGTGTTGCATCTGGTTGTAGGACTATCTGAAGAC